CACGTAAGACCCCTGTTGGGTGGCCTTTGAGGTATATTAAATAAATAAATAAATAAATAAAAGACCATGTTCATCGCTGCCTCTTCTTGCGCGGCTTGTTTGCTCCGTCCGCTGTTACGTGTCCTTGTGCGAGAAATGCCAACGTAGGCAGCGGCCTACTGCGCCGCCGGCTGCACTTCTACCAATCTCTTCCAACTGAACCTTACTGACGAGTTGTACATCTTCTCGGTCTTTATCCTGAGTCAAACTTTGGCAACAAGTGGGTCGCCATTGATGTAGACTATGCGATCAGGGATTCCATCATTCCCGCACTCCCCACGAGCACCGCTACTCACGTGAAGGACTTTCTATTGCACGATGTCATCCTACACCTTGGGGCATAACGGTGGCTGAGCCGCCGAGTTGAGAAAAGGGTGAGTGTGCCGACGAGCAAACCCTTTCCACGGGCCAGGCAAGCATTGCTTCGCGAAGTGGGCAAGAGGGTGAGCGAAAGGGAAGCGAACCCATGACGCCAATATGAGCGGAGGCGTTGGCTGCAGTCCTGAGTGGGAACAATACCAGGCTCCCCTTTGGGACAATGGGAATCGCTTTCAGCAGGACAGAGTTACTGAAGGCCCAGCAAGATGATCCGTTTTTTCGCGAGTTCAGCGATGGTCTCAGGGAGACGGAGCGCCGAGACGCTGCTGGTAGTGTGGCGGGCGCAGGGGGACGGGAACCGGCGTATGTCGCTAGGTCCCTCGCGGATACATACTTGCTGGACCATGATGGACTCCTGCTGAAATACATAGGCACCGATGAGGAGTCAGTGGACCCGTTTAAGGTGGTTGTGCCCAAATGTCTGAGGCGCACTGCTGCGAGCCTCTCACGACGAGCCCATGGCCGGTCACCTGAGTGGCTCTAAAGATTTTGCGAAACTGAGCAAGGTTGTGACTTTGCTTGGTATGAAGCGTGACATTTTTTGCTATTGCCGTTCCTGCCACGTCTGTCAAGCGGCGAAATCAAGAGGGCAAGCCGCTCGGCTTGATGAAACCGATTGTCAGTGAGCTTCCGTGGCAAGTAGCCACCTGCGATCTAATGGGGCCGTTCCCCAGAAGTAAGCAGGGGTTCATACATCTGATGGTAGTCGTTGATCATTTTTCCAAATGAGTGGAGCTGTTTCCGCTGTGGAAAGTGGCAGTGCGAGCAGTGCTAGAGAGGCTACAGAAAGTGTTTTGTCGGTTCGGCTTTCCAAAAAGATTGATCACGGACAATGCGTCGTATTTCACCGCTCGGGTGTTTGGTTATACGTGCCGTTCCCTAGGAATAGATCACTGCACCACTTCGCCCTACCATTCCCAGTCCAGTTTGACGGAGCGAACCAATCCTACGCTCAAACCGATGTTGGCGGCCTTCGCCGAAAGTCAAAAGGACTGGGCAAACCATTTGAGTGAACTCGCGTTTGCAATCCGAACCTCCGAGAGTCGCTTTACTGGTTTCTCTCCCGCCTTCCTTACTTTCGGAAGGAAGTTGGCAAATCAGGTGACCAGTGCCATGCAATGCCAGCTCGGAAACAAGGAAGAACCGGCAGGCTATTCTGCTTAGGATTCAACACTTCGGGACAGGGTCTGTCGAGCTCTCAGTAGAGCGAGGCAGAGTTTGGCATCGGTCAAGGCCGAGCAAAAGGCCCAGTACCACCGAAAACATCGCCATCTTTCATTTAAGGAAGCTGACCTCGTCCTGAAGCGCAACCACTTCTTAGCGACGCGAGCTCGGGTTTCTCAACTTCGCTCGCTTCAAAGTGGCTTTGTTCGTACCGAGTGGAAAAAGCTTGGACTCCACTCACGTACTTGCTGAAGACTCGCTTTCGGGAAAACTCTGCCGTGCCCACATCGCAGACCTGAAAGCCTTTGCGTCGAGGTCTGATGAGCCTGCGCCAGCGCCCAGTGGCTCTTCGCGCAAGCAACGGCGCACACCCGGCGTGGCGGGCCGCATTCGGCCACGCACCGTCATAATCTTAGGAAGTGGTCACCTAAGAGATTTCGCGCCGAACGGCGGGCTTCTTTCCGCAACGGAAGGCCCTCCTTTTTACTGTCCAGCCTCAGTAAGCTAACTTCTTTACAGCCAGTGCGTGCAAAGAAGTCTGTTCCGCCCAGTTACTGCTGCTGATTGTGCGTTTAGCGTTCATGTTTTCTTGATTTTTTTCGTTTTTTTTTGGCCTGCGGAGGGGTAGCGACCGGTTACTCGCGAGAACAATCAAGGACGCTTTGGTGGTGCAGGTGTATGTGTCTGTGCGGTGTGTGGAGGGGGAAGAACTGGGTCGACGACCCCTGCGTAAACATAGGTGGTGCTGGTTAACCGGGTCAACGACCCCTACGTAAACATAGGTGGCGCTGGTTGTTGGTGAGGCGAGGTGGAGAAGCCGGAGACTGCCAGCGGTGCGCCATTCTCGTTCTGGTGCCGGTCGTCGTGGTCACATACCCTTCAGTAGCAGTTGCAGAGCGAGACTGAGGCTACCTGTTGCCCATTGCATGACGTATTTGTAGCATGAGCGACAACCGGCTGCCTTTTCAGACCGTATATAGGGTGAATTAAGGAGAGGAGGATGTAGGGATCTGAGGCGCGCCCACGACCATTTCGCGGGCATTCCGCCGCACGGCCACACTCTTTTGCTTTTTCTGCTCTGATAACTACGCGTGGCGATAGATGGCGCCACGTTCAGACGCAGCACGCGGTATGCGCGCGCCGAGGGAGTGCTCTCTCTTCTGTGGTCGGCGCCGGGTAAGCACGTGTTTTTCTTCGTCCGCGTCCTCTTTGAGAATCGCCGAACTGTAGCCAGGCTCGGGTGGCCGTTGACACCTCGGCAGGCGTGTTTATTTGAGTGCAGCTTCAGTAGCGTACGCTAAGCCCACAGCAGTGCCTAGTGCTTGAAGTGGTCATACCACACCGAGCCGCACTTGCCATAGGCCTACGCGTACGAGGTTTGCCCTAACACTCGCGACCAGGCAAAGTGGCCATCGTGAGAGTGCGCAGCGTAGCCGCAAGAGACCTTTTCCCGACCGGCGTGTCAAAGCTCGCCATTGCCACCTGCGACGTGCTCGCGGTTTCCCCCTTATTGTGAACGTCCACGTGCGGGTGCCTTCGCACCCCGCGTCCCGGGAGCGGACGTTGTACTGCTGTTCGGGGTGCCGCCAAAGGCAATAAAGTGTTGTGCGTTTTGTATTTGAACACTCTCTGTTTTGCCGCGCCGCGCTAAACGTCTTATTAGTTGAGCGCGCGCGGAATGGTGCGCCACATGCGAGTAGGTGGTAGAGTCGCGGCCCTGTGGCTCGCTAAGCGTGAACCCGCGGTGATCATTCGCTGCAGTTAGTAGCGGGGTCACCATAAAATGGACAATGGAAAAATAGGCGCGCCTGTTAATGTAACAATAAACGAAAATCACGCAGACAAGGCAAAGAAATTACCGAAAGCAGTGGCACAGAATTTTATTGTAGCAGGAGACAGCTTCGATGATCTTAAGCTCTATACAAACATCAGTCAAACTTCCGGTTCGCAAGAGGCAGAAAATGTGCAGTGTCATACCTGATTTGCATGTTCAATGCATTCCAGCCAGTAGATATGCTTTTTAAAGGGGCTCTTGACTCTGTTGGGCATTGTAAATACACAAACAAAACCACTCAGAGTTTAGCCTTCCATCCAGGAAATTCAAACCTGCAATTGTAAACTTCAGACAACTGGTTCGACAACTGGGACTCAGCGACACGTGTACATACTCACCTCCCCACTGCTTTCTTTTTTTCTTTTTATTCACAAAATACTTGCTCTTTCTTCACTCATAAAATTCTTCAGAGCCCCCCTTCCCCGCTCTCTCGCACCCGTGGACACAGTGTTACCACTCTCCTTCCTTTGTTAGGATGAAAGAGAGAGCCCGAAGCGTAGACACACTCGCGCTAAAGAAAATAGTCTTGTTTTAGCTTTGAAGAATACAAGTCCGCTTGCGGAAACGCCAGCTCCCCCCAACCCCTGTTTAAGGATTCTCCATCGGCTCCTTCCAGTGACCTAATGATAATGCTGGGCGTAGAACTGATAAAACGATGGTGGTGACACGTTTAGCGTTCGTTTACCTGTCACTCTCTGTCATCTCGTCTTCTTATCAGCTCTGATTTTATCATCAATTATTTATAACCAAAGCCCAGCTCATTCTTCTTGTCCTCGCTGTGATTTCGCGATCTTAGTACGACATGTTGTTGTGCTATAGGTCCCTACGAAATGCCACAGCGGAGCTTGTCTGTTTTTCTCGCTTTTGGAGCGTCTTTGTAAACTTTTGTAGCGTTAGCTACACTGGCCTCGCTGAGCCGATTTCGCATGGCACTGGTCTGCGCATGCGCAATGATACTTCGCCGCCGTTGTGCGCGCAATTCGATGCGCTGCGCAGACGATCAGTGGTGTCACGCACCGGAGCCAGCACCTCCCTCGCACTCGGCCGCGGCCGAGCGCGACTCGCCGCCGCCGGTGTGCGCTTTCCAGAGGAGTGCCGTCATAGCCTTGGTAGACATATGGACGCCGACGCGCACGCCTTCCTGTGCAGTCGTCATCTGACACTGCGCTGGAGCCACTTGATAGTACCTCTGACTGGCGTTTGCCACTGTAATATAGCCATGGAGAAGGAGAGTGTAAATGGTGCTCAATGGTGCAGTAGAGCGGAGAAGCTCAACTCATCGAATCCAGAAGTAGTTGCCCGGCGAAATAAATATACATGTGCCACATAACATAATACCTATACCATGTGTGTGTCATTGGAACAACTGCAAGCATGATATCTGGAAAACTAAGAATAATCTGCTGAAGCTTCGCTAATGCTACGTATATCCTGGCAAGCTGAGCTAAGCCACTGCCATTTTTTTCTGCATTTTGTTTCTTTGAGCGTAGACAGTAAACTGATTGGGAAAATGTTATCAAGAAAAAGCGTTCAAGATATTTTCAGGCCTTCATAAGCACTGCGGTGCTTCCTCGAAGCGTCTTACCTGTGTCGGATGTGCACTCTACGTGGTATTTAGATGCGGCGTTGCTGGTTCCTACTGAAGGCGTCCAGCTGAGCTTGAATGAGCGGCTTTTTACGTCACTGGCCTTGAGAATAGTCGGTGGCTCTGGTGGTTCTAGTATCCACAGAAGGAATGAACGCCATGAGTGTAGGACAGATATCTTGTAGTAAAATGTCAACATTCTGCCCTAGTCACAAGAAACCTCAAATTTTTCAAATAATCAAGGTTTAAAATACACAAAAAACTATTTGTAAACCACTAATCTCTAATAGTTCAATTTGTGTTGTCTGTAGTCATATTCGTAGAATGGTACCACTGGCATGATTTAATAAAAGAAATTCTATAAAACACCACCTAACAGGAGAAGCACTGATAAGTGCACGAGTATTATTTTTTTAGAAAGTGAATACTTCACCTAATAATAATAACGGTTATATTACGTTAGCTCTTAAATTTCTAGTCAGCAATACATACTTTGCTGGCAAAGTTTTTGTTCGCCCAATCACACATGCAGCCTTACCTCTTCTACGATGATGTGAACAAAAGTGCCTTGTTTTAACAGGAACATACGACAAGTTCTGCCTACGCAATGAACAACTCTAACAGCATCACACTTCTCAGCAATTCCACTGCGATATACAGCAAATTTTTTCTCATGAAGAAAAAAGCGGTATCACACTGCCAGACTTCATAAAGTTCATTCATTAAATTTTTCATTCATTTATTCATTCATCTATTATTTAATTAATACATTTATTCACTCATTCATCTCTCTGAAAAGCGAACGCGTTGCGTATTGCCCCAAATAGCTTCCAACTGATCCAGAAGTTTTTTCAAATGTTCGCCCGGATACACAGACGAATAATATTAAAAGCTGGGCTTGTTGGTAAGGCTGCAATTTTGGGTACAGCGTGAGACCAACGAAGGCTGAAAAAAGGACACCAACGAGCACTGACTCGAACCTGAAACTTTCACTTGAAGAGCAAATAACAAAAAATCAAAACTCAAGCTCGAACACACAGTCATCCAACTGACATATCTAATGCATTCAGTGAGTACTTTAGCAGTACTTGTGATTCCCTCTCAAATCTTTCATTACCAGCATTGCCACGTCCACCTCACTCTTTATACTTGTGACCTAGAAATTCTAACGAAGTTTTTCACGTTCTCTCTTCAGTCAGGTCTACAGCACTGGTCTCGACTCTTTTCATCTAATCGGCATTAAATTAGTTTTCAGTGAGGTATCTGTCCCGCCCAGGAACCGAGAAACGAGGGGGACTGCTGGCAAGCGGAAACCAAAATAACTTTTCCCTCTCTGTGAATCCCATATATACACTCGGTGGACGGCAGTGCCTCCTTGTGGCCACATGCTGCCAGGAACACTGGCAGTGCCCTCTACATCCCCTCCTTTTCAAACTATATGGGGTAGGTCCTCACAAGTTTAAACGTCGGGGAAGCCTCACTATAGAACCAGTGCGAGTCCGCGCCACACTTTGCCGTGGCGTTACTTCTGGTTGCACGGGTTCTTGCGGAGCTTCAGGTTGCAAGTTTTTGGGAAGGGTTGGCGGAGAAGCTGCTAGTTGTGCTGAACTCATTTCTGTCAAATGGGGCACCAGGCGTCGGCGATTACGCTGCAGAACGCCTCTGCATGTCTGAAAAAGGTATGACCGTGGACGCTGGGCCTGTGAAAGTAGTTTCCCACTGCAGCACATGTCGGTGACCCACACACAGTCGCCAGGTGTTAGAGTGGTCAGCTCATTTGAAGCCCAACGGCGATTGAAGGTATTTTGATTGTTAACTACTAGATGGTTGTTAACTACTCAAAAATTTGTGCTCTTACAGTAACACACAAGAAAACTCCTCTTAAATATAAATACCATGTCCATAACCAAAGTATTGAATTCGTTATTGCCGTAAAATATTTGGGGTTGACCATTAATACGAAACTTAGCTGGAACGCTCACATCGACAACGTTTGCGCCAAGGCCTACAAGAAGCTATGCTTCTTAAGAAGGAAGCTGAGGTCCTTTGATTGGAAAGTTAAACTTGCAGCCTATAAAACCCTAGTTCGACCAGTGCTAGAATACGCATCCCTTGCGTGGGACCCATATTTAACGAAAAACATAGATAAAGTGGAAAGAATTCAGCGGTTAAGCGCACGGTTCATTTTTTCAGACTTTAGGCGCCTCTCCTCCGTTTCTGAAATGTTAAATAAATGTGAGCAGGAACCACTGGAATGTATGCGAAGAATTGCAAAGTTTGTCTTCTTTTATAAACTATACAACAATGAATAAGGTTTAAATAAAGAATTGTGCATTCTGCCACCTCCTCAGCGCTCAGCAAGGTTAAATCATTCAAAAACTTTAAGACCATATGCTCCTAAAAATAACATATTCAAGTACTCCTTTTTTGTAGGAACCATTGAAGACTGGAATTCACTGCCTTCCGACTGCGTGCGCGCTCAGACTTCTAGTTTTGACATCTGTGTTAGGAACCTTCCTTATCGGAAAAATTGCCATGGTGGATACTGGAAATTATGGTGGGCGTAGTGGAAATAATAGTGGGCATGGTGGAAATAATAGTGGGCATGGTGGAAATTATGATGGCTATGGTGGGACGTAGTGGAAAATATGGTGGTTATGCCGGGACATACTGGGTGGTATGGTGTACAGATGATGGGTAAAGTGGAAATGATGGTGGGAAGCAGAGGCTAGATAGTGGGCAATAATGGGACACTCTGCCCACCATTGCGATAATGCTGGGAAGCCCTAAGCATATGATGGGTGGTGCTTATTATGGTGGGCTACATGGTGTACCAAGCTGAGAAACTCTTCCCACCATTGCGATAATGCTGGGAAGCACTAAGCAGATGATGGGTGCTGCTTGTTATGGTGGGCCACATGGTGTACCAAGCTGAGAAGCTCTGCCCACTATCGCGATAATGCTGGGAAGCAGTAAGCAGATGATGGGTGGGCTTATAATGGCGGGCAATTTATATAGTGTACCAAGCTGGGATCTGTACACTACATGTTCTACCACCATGATTTCCACCAAAGGTTAGGACTACCGATCTAGCCCGTACAATTGTGTTATTCGTGCTTCCGGGTTTCAGAATACACGATTTCGACGATTAAGTATGACAATACAGCGCAGCCATGGCATCAATTATTCTAAATAAAGCATTTTTCATTGTGTATGGTGTCCGCTCAAGAAGCAACAAACATCAATGCGACGCGAATAAAGCACTCCCAGAGAACGTAATTAAGTGTCTTCTCACCGACAGCCGCCGGTCGCACTCGCCGGCACTTCTCTAGCTTCTGTACGAGAACTCAGATGTGGTAATTCGTATGCTTGGTGAACCAATATGATATGAACCAATATGATGTTTGCGGCACACTGCATTCGTTTTGGCCAAGCCGTTATGTAGTTGTTGCTTTAGTGAAAGAGCTACAGCATTGCGCTGGCGCGACCGCCCTCTACATTGCGCGAAAAGTATCCCAATACTCAATCCGATAAATTAGGCGGGCATATCTATGGAATGAGCCTAGAAGTGTCATAAAGCGTGAGCAGATGTCGCCCTTTAGAATGAGCGCGAAACGGATATTAAACTTGGCAGACCCCGCCGGTAAACTGTTGCTGCTCCCCAGTCCACTTGGTTTTTTTTTCTTGAAGTTGTGAATTGTAAAAAAAATAGCACTAGTGCCATTAACATAGTGGCAATCGTTACAGGCCGTAGTTGATGTGTTTAATAAATGAGCAACTTTTAGTAGCAGGTGTAGATCTTGTCTATGTTGTGTACACGACAAACACAAGTTTAACCTTAAGTTTGTATGCCAACTAAGTATTAAACACACGATTAACGTCATGTTGGTGTGGCGCAGTGGTTAGCGTCTACGACTGGGAATCCACAGGTTGCACGTTCGATCCTCCGTCGCGCCTTGTTTTTTTTACGGGACGGGTGTTTTTTTATACTGTTTTTATAGAATTCTTTTTTATTTTTTGTGACAGCTCGTCACGGTGATTCTGACGTCATTTCGCGCTCAAGTGTTGCCGGCACTGCAGCACCCACCATACCCACCATACCCACCATGCGCCATGGTGGGCGTTTCCCACCATTCACCCACTACATTAATCCACTATAATGGTGGGTGGTGGTTTACACCATGCCCACCATTTGTTTTTTTCCGATGGGGTTATGTAACCCTCTCCTGCTAGGATGGTGAAAAACTGTCTGCAGTATCCCTTAAATAAAATTTTGTTGCTGCGCAATGTAGCTTGTATTCTTTTCCCTGAAACTCGTATAACACGGTAATGACGGCACTAGTTGTTTCGGTAGTCGTGCGAGGCGTGTTTGCGATTTCCTTTCCATCAAGGCTTGGGCCGGAATAATGTCGTTTGAACCGGGTGTGTTACGGTATGACAGCAAAGCCAGGTAAGTGATAGGACTTTTGGAGAGCAAGTGTTTTTTAGTGCGCACCAAGCGCTCCGCCTCTCCGTCGCTCTGGGGATACCTTGGATTGCTGGTCTCATGACGGAAGCCATATGACTGTGCAAACTCTGCAAACTCATGTGACACGAACGGTGGTCCGTTGTCGTTCCGGAACACGTCTGGTACGCCAAAACGGGCGTTACAGCTCTTGATTTCTGAAATGAGAGCTGGTACCGTGGTGGACCTAACGGAGACTACTTCGAAAAACCTGGAACAATAATCAACAATCAAGACGTAATCACGTCCTTTCAATTGAAACAGATCGGTGCCCAAGTGCTGCCATGGCCTGTTAGGTGTAACCATTGGCAACATCAGCTTGGATCGCTGAACTGTAGTCTTTGAAGATACCGAGAACGTGAAGAGTCTGTTCACCAGGGCCTTGTACTTCCCCTTCGATGGAATCTAGCACCCGCGGTCGACCTGCGAAAGACGGCGAGAGCATACACACTTCTGTGCCAGAATCTATCTTAAACTCGGCCGGGTGCCCGTTAACAAGTAATTTTGTGTACCTTGCTCGGCATGTATTCACGTTTTGAAGTTCGATATATCCGAGGAGGTCGTTTCTGTTCTTCATACAAACTTTGGCAAAATGCCCTACATTTCTTCAATAGTGGCACGCCAATTT